TTCTTGCTCATTTTGCCTCCGAGATATGAGCAAAAACGGCACAGAAAACATGAAATTTTGGCATAATCTTGAACCTAAGTGTCTGATATTCAAATTTCACTTTCTGGGTCAAAACCACTCGAACTTCCTCACTCACGTTGTTACGACTGAATCGACTTTTCAATTTTCTATCCAACGATTCCAAAACGAATTCTGTGGCTTGAATGGTTCTTGAGAAACTTCGAAAAAAGCAGCGTCATGTTCAAGTGGATTTTGCAACTCAAGGAAAACCGCGCAAATCTAAAACTTCTTGAATTCAAGCATTTTTTGAGAAAACTGCCAACATTTCCCCATCCATGGTTCACTTTCTAAAAAGGTCATTTATTTCTGTCTGGAATGATGTAAAAACGAGCGTTCGTTCGTTTAACGGGACGAAACCATTCATCTAACTATATTTTTGATAGAGTTACTAGCTTTTAAGGCAGTTAAATTGAAACTGATGAGTTTTCGGACATTTTAGGAGGTCGTTCAAAGGAAATCTTCCGGATGCATTGCTGCGCGGGTCCAGGACGGCCTAAAATCCAGAAAAACTCATCAGCTTCAGCTTCCAATTTCCGCAAATCATTAACATTGGTGTTGGTTTCACTGCAAAGTGCGCCAATTTATGGTGAGAACAATATCCAAGCGTAAAGTCCATGGGAAGACGACCTCCGTTATTTATTGGCCAATATATCGGGAAAAAATGTACATATTCTGAGCTTTGCAGACATGACAAAAATCGGCACTATCCTGCGCTCAGAACGCGAAGCAATCAAGTTGTGGGGTGGTTGAAAAGCCATCCAGAATCCCTAGCAATTACGGCAACGCCACACCCCCGAAAGTTGCTCGAGCGAATCGAAAGAATCTTATACACTTGCTCTTTGATTGTGGCACGCACTTTCACGGCGGGGGGAATGGACCTAGAGGGAGGCCGTGTGGGGGAGTCCTGGATCTAGTGGAAAAGGGCGTAGCGGGGCCGAATATGGGGATTAAGAGCCCCAAGACGCGGCGGCAAATTATTAATAAGCTGCGGTGGTGGAGCAAATTAAGTTGCGGCCAACGCTCAGGCACTTAGTCGATGCCAAAGGGTGGACTAATTGGGTTTAATGCCGTTCTGGAATTAGTGGCTTTCAGCCGAGAGTAT